TATATATATATATATTTCGCTGAACAGCTGACCCGATTTTGGTTGTACGACTACTAATGTTCAAATCTGCAGCCTTGTAATTTTGTACGAATCTAGAAGACAAGGAAACTCCTGGATCAGTACCCCCAGTGATTTATTATGGGAACATGGAGAACTTCGCGACTTGACAGATTTAACGTGCATCAGTCACCGTTTACTACACGGGGAATCTTCGACCGGCGTGGATCGAACTCTTGGACAAAGGCCCAGTTCCCTACCAACCAGGCTATCCCGGCCGTAATCCGAGGTTTAGGATAATTAATCCATAAGTAGAGCGGGATAGCCTTGGTGGTAGGGCATTGGGTCCATCTCCAAGATGTCGTGAGTTTGATCCCTGCCAGCAAGACTCCCCATGTAGTAAATGCTGACTGGTCCATGTTAGAGACAGTCCTCTATGTTCCAGATCAATACCTCAGTGTGTGCTGAATTGGAGATTGATCGTTCTCTGGTTCAGGTCAAAATTATCGTCTGTGAATGAATGGATGTATGAACGGCAGTCTGCCCTATAAACGGGTAGTTAAGTGTGTGCGGCTGAAGTCGTATTCTTAACCATAGATGGTGCCAGTGAAAAACAAGAAACGCACCCTCTTCCTTAAATTCACTTGGTTTCACCAAGCAGGGTTACTCGCATTGACAAGTAGATTTAGAATCAACAACAACAATAACATTCCTTAAGTATTTAGGAAATATGCATTAGCTGCGAATGTGCGATTCTCCCGAAACAACTCTCGTTAATATGGTAAAAAAGGGTAATATGCCCTGCAGTTTTTTTAAAACAATTTTCAGCTATTTTGTATAATCGGGAAAAGAGGTTCAACGAGAAGATGAAACGTAATTGGTCGGCATTTGTTGTAGAATATTGTTTTTATTAATAATAGACATTACATATTGTCGGTAAACTTATAATATTTACTCATTTTTTTTCATTTTTAGCCTGAAATTAATATAAAGGAAACAGATTCAAACTCGTCTCAAATCAGGAATCTCTTATTCGATGAAATGAAGAAACAAAACGTCGAAGAGGCACCGTCTTTTGAGAATTGTTTCAAAGGAAATTTAATTTTTGAAACAGTACGTTTTCACTTAGTCTATACTAGCTTTGCAATCATCACTTAGTCTATACAATTATCATTTTTACAGTTTGTTTATACTTAGTCTTTACAATTATGACTTAATATATTTAGCTTTTGTTTCTATATTGCTATGTTAGTTAGGTTCTTTGACAAAAGTTTCAAAAATTCCGAACGCAAGCAATATATTTTTGCAAGTGGCCAAATTATTATGACCATCTGACAGAATTATGAAAAATGAGCAATTGTTGCCGCTAGAGAGTGAGATAGCTACAAAAATGGAATGCAAGGCAAGTGAGCCATCAATTGATCTGTGTTACGCGTTGAGATTAATGCAAAAAACGTGACTTAACTGAGTTAGAACTTGGGATAATTGTGGGGGCTCGAAGTGCGGGAACAAGTATCAGTATCCCATGGATGGTGTTTTCTACACGCTGCAAGCTCGGTACCGCCAAAATTTCCGGGTTACTGTTTCCGTTGTATTTTAAAGCCATTTGGCATCATTGTGTTTTGAGATTCTTGCAAACAATGTATTTGATTACTTATTACTTGTGTTTACAATACTGGTGTTTACAATGCTAATAGTGTTAACACTAACGTAAGATGGTGCACAGTTTGCAACAAGAACAAATAGTAATAAACTTACGGAAAGAGGCCATATCAAGACTGCCAAAAAAAGCGAGTTATTCAAAATCTAGCTACCAAGTCACCTTTTTTAACAATATATCTCTAAAAAAGTAAAACAAATTTTCACTTCAAACTCCCCAGAATTACGTAATGATATTAATATCTTATGAAAGACGGCAGATTTGAGCTCAGAAATTATCTAATTTATTTCTTTTATTGAAAACAAAATTATTCGTTTGAAAACANTCTTGTTTTTTTGCAGAGTTTACACCTCGAAAAAAGACTTTATACACTTTTTTAATTAAATTAATAAACCAAGAATTTTAAAAACTAATGTATCAAAAAACATTAATTTTCTCAATTTTTGTGTTTTGGACTTGGCTCGTTTTGGACCGCATTGGCTTCTGAGCGACTCTAGTATCAGTATCAGTAAATTCGACTAACATAAGGTAATTATACGTAGCATCTAAAATAAACGAGATCACGCGCAGTTGTTTCAATCTTAAGTATGCTAGCGTACGGAAGCTAAGGTAAAAGTGCGAAATCTCCCTATTTTTATTTTCGGGGAAAAAGTTAAAAAAAGTTATTCACTTGCTTTTTTAGGTGACATTTATATATTAAAACATATTCTCAGCAAAAAAAATTACAAAAAATATTTTTAAATAAAAATTATTTCTGTTTTTTAAAAAAATTAAACATTTTCCAATTTTTTAATTTTTAAAATATCAGATGCTTGAAATTTTTTCACTAGCATATTGATGCCAGTGTGACAAAACTGGGTAAGGATTTTTTGCTGCAGTGATTAGTTTTTTTTATTAGAATCAGTCTTTGGCTTAAACTTTAGTTGGAGACCCATTTCAACTGAGTTTTTAGTTTTACATTTTTCAAAAAATGTTTCATAGGTTCCAGACTTTATTCCTCACCCAATTTTGTTTTGTCTGCAGATTTTTATACGCAATAAAGATTTTAGAGCTCTTACTTCAATTGATGAAATTCCTTAGCCTTTCTTATAAAAGACAGCATTAGATATTAATAAAATGAAAATAACAAGTTCAAAGATTGCATTCGTGAGTAGCTACTAATTTTAAATTCTGAAGCTCTATTTAGCTTCGCGTATGCAATAGTGATATAGTTTCTGAATATTATTTTGAAAAAAAGGAATAAAAAACTTTCATATAATTTGTTTTAGCTTAAAGAAGTTGCATAAACTAAAAAAAAATATCATTACACAAAGTAAAATGCATACAAATTATGAGATGTATGAAAATGTAACTAAGAAATGTATCTTCAACAAAAATTATAATAATCATGTAAATTACACATAAAGTGTCGTCACCTCGTTTTGTTTATTTTGGCCATTGCCTCTCAAATCTCTGAAATTGTTGATGCGGCAATGGAGGTAGGCTTATAACTTTTTCTAATTAAGATATTGTTTGGAAACCCTGTACACTTGTTTCAAAACAATTTTCTAACTCATTCGCTCTAAAATCTCATAATCTAACTTTTTGCAATATTTTGAGTACCATAGTATTACCAAAAGAGAACAATGGATTAAAATTAATTAAATAACCAGTTGATTTCGAAGACACCCCACACAGTAAATGGTGACTAGTGTACGATAAATCTTGTCGGGTCACAGAGTCATCCATGTTCCCATAGCAAATCATAAATCATATCTTATTAATTGATTCACCGAATGGGATATTAATCGTTCTCAGGTTCAGGTCAAAATTACGATCGGTGGATGAATGAATGGATGTATGAATGGGTTCACCCGATAAACGGTCTGAGACGCGTGTGAGGAGGAAGTCGTATTCTTAGCCGTAGATGGCACCACTAAAAAACAAGAAATACCCGCTGCCTTAAATTCGCTTGCTTAAACCAAGCGAGCTTGCTGGTATTGGTAAGTGGTATTAGAAACAACAACAATAATTTGATTGAATTTTTCAGCCTTATACTTCTTTCGAGGAAAAGCTTGAAAGAGATTCAATTTCTTTTCAATTCCTAACTGACGAAATGGAGAAAGAATATTTTGATCCAGACAATTTTCCTGATCAGTGCACTAGTGAAAATTTATTTCTTGAAAATGTAAGTTTCGTTTTGTTTTAAATTTGACAAAATTTCTAATCAAAAGCTAATATGTTTTTTTTTTAACTGTAATGTATTTTTCATGCAATGTATAACATTGGTAGTGCTTTTTAAAAATAGCATCAGACTATTACTTTGTTGTTTCAGTCTATAATTAGTTCGGAAGAATTTCGCATTTTTGATTTTGTTCTTTACAATGTTCTGTACTACTTTTTGTTCTTTACAATGTTTCGTTTTGTACTTACAACACAGGAAGTGCTTGTTAAAAATAGACTATTGCTCTTCATTGATTCAGTCTATAACCATTTTTATTCTGTGTATGACACAGAAAGTGCTTCTTTAAAGTAGTATCCAGCTACTACTCGTAATTGCTTATTTATATATTGTTAATAAAGAAAAATCTCACAATTTGTTTTTTCATTTTTTTCCAAGTATGAAAAATGAGTGAAGCGTTTGATATAATTAGTATGAGGCTAGATTGCTCGTCATTGCCTCAGTCTATATTTAAAAAAAATCACAATTCGTTTTATTTTTGTGTAGTGTATGACAAGGGGAGTGCTTGTTAAAAAGAGTATTGTGTTATTGCTCTTTCTTGCTTCATTCAATAATTAGTAGGAAAAATTTTATATAGGGTAAACTAACCAGTGAAGGAACACTTAAGCTTCGCTTGCATTTTAAAAAATCTTATTAATTTCAAAATTCGTAATTTTAGTTAAATGACAGAGTGTCAACATATTTGTTACTAATTGCAAATTATGTAAAAAAATTGTGGAGAACTTACATAATATTGTTTTAAAGTTTTGGAGGTTCAAATGACAAGTAGTAAGAAGATCAAGTGAAGGAACAGCTCTTACCAGTGAAGGAACAATAAATTTCCCAGTGAAGGAACACTTAATTTTGGTTATTTTTTAATGCCTTTTATGAATTTATAAGCCATACAAATATTTAAAAACAGGCCTATTCTTGAAATTANATCGTTTTTGTTTTCCTTTTCAGCCTAATACTTCTTTTGAGAAAACATCTGAAGGAACTTCAATTTCGTCTCAACCACATTTTGATATAATGGAACACGCAGTCATAAACGAAAAATATTTGATCGATCAATGTGCCAAAGCGAAGTTACTTCTGGAAAAATTGAGGTGTCTGTTAGAACATATAAAAAGAAATGATCTCAAAAATCTGAGAGCAGTAGAAAATATTGACAATAATATGGTTGAAAGACAGTCAATCAACTTAAAAGATGTTAATTCCATTCCTAATTGTGATTTTGGCGATAATGCTTGTGTTAGTCAGAAGGCAGGTACCAGTATATTTGTGCTTTCATATTAGTTTTACAGTGTGGATTAGTATATCTAGTGTAAAACGGTTGATGGGTTATATTCCCTTTTTCGTCAGGGCAAAATAAGGCATGTTTTCGTGGTTTTCATCTGAATGCAAAGCTAATGCGGGTTATTTCCATTTAAGATCGTTCCACAAAGGCGCGTTTCTTCACATGATAGATTCAGCAGTTAGACCTCTCCTGGATTGCATCAACATTACAAGACTGAAAATTAAACATTGATATCTAATACAATTCGGCTGTAGTAAAATGACATTGCAAACGGTTTTGTTTGCTTTGTGTTTGAGTATAATATACAGATTTTTGATGAACGTATATGTTTAAAAAAATACTTACACCCTTATCCTTAGAAAAAAAAATTAAAGATTAAAAAAAACATAAGACTTTAACGTTTCACATCATAAACGGATATACATTACTCCCTACATTTCAGAGATGTGGGGACACTAAGTATTCCCTAAAGGGAATTTTAAAACTCCTGGGGAGGAATATGTAATAAAATATCATAAAAACTGTTGCTTCTAAAGGGAAACCAATTGCAGACTTAAAAACAGCGACGCGAAAATAACTGAGATTCGTTTAGAAATGTTATTCAACTGAAATACTTTCACAAGTTTTATTCGTCTTCTCCATTTATGACATGAGTTCAAAGCTTTGAATAGAAAAAGTAGGAGCACTGGGAGCTTTCTTCGAGTGGACACTTTTTATAAATTTGCCAAAAAGCGTAATTATCTTTGTTTCGATGATATCTAGTATTTTTCTAATTATAATTTGAACGCTGGTATTGAGTTTGAATGAAACATAGGCAAAATTGAAAGTATACATGATTCAGAAAAATGTTTTTAATTTCACAAGAAGCTGCGGAGATTTTCGCAACCCAAGGCCAAAAATATAATTTTGCGCTTCTAGGGCCACTTTTTTATCATCAATTACCTTTTCGTTCACTTTTATACAGGCACTACAAGTAATCTAAATACTATTTTTTCGTTTTCTAATAATTATGGTCGAAAATTGATTTAAAATAGACGGAAAAGTTTGCTGTTTTATCGTAATTTACTTATTTGACAAGTAACATGGTAATTTTGATAACTTAGTCGTCAAATCATTAAATTACGACGAAACAGCTATTTTTAGCCTATTTAAAAGCATTTTTCGATAATAATTGTTAGAGAACAAAAAATTAGTACAAAATCATAATAATTTAGATCACTTGTGCCAGTTTAAAGGCGCACGAAATGGAAGTTCAAAATAAGCAAGCGTCTATAGTGGTGACATTTCTGGCAATGAGTTGTAATAGGGGGTAGTGAGAACAAGTCATTAAATTAATTAATTAATATACTGTTACGGCTTTTTAAAAGGTAGAAGAAATAAAAGTGGTACTCATTTTAATATATTAGTACTGTCTTTAGTAAATAACATTCAAACAAATACCAAACATTAACAAAACAATTCCACATATTTTTCTCAAAAAAGCAAACCAGGGAAATTTAACCAGTTTTTATTTTATAAGCAACACAATTTTGAATCGATCCCTTTACATTTTTGAAAAATGTATACTTTTCGACATGTAAATGATGAAAACTTATGAAGTCAAAAATTGACTAAAAATTTTGATGTAATTTTTTAGCCCTTTCAAGATTAAAATAGTAAACCAAGATAGTATAAAACCATAGCGACACATTTTTTTACTACAAATATTTTTGAACTTATACTTAGCTGGAAATTTAAATGGACGAAAAAATATATAATATTAATCTTTTTAAGTTAAGATATTATCAAAAGGTATTTCATTGCATAGTTGTCAACTTGAACCATCGCTGGAAAAGATTTTTACAAAAAATATTTTTTGTAAAAGTATAATTTGTATAAAATTTAAGTTACTTTGCTTTCCAATTCTGAGTAGAACTTTCCACATATTTGATAGTATATGCACAAGTGGTACAATGGGATACCTGCAAGTTACGTAGTGTGGGTATCTCGATCCTGATTGGTTGTTGAAACGTGGCATTTGCTTACATTAGCAACTGCTCTTTCCATTCTATTTCAAGTAAGCTAAGTTCGTCAAGTATCAATTCTCTTAAGTGACCCATTCTAAATTCTTTCACAAAAATTTCAATTATTTCTCTATATCTACACACAAGAGACTTAACACATAGACAGGCACGAAGTCATGGTAGAAAATAAACAAACTTACTATGCATCAAAGTTTCCAGGTACACAAAACAAAAATATTACACGATTACAATAAAATTAATAAACAAATAATAAATATAAGTTAAGTAAACGAAGTAGACGAGAAAGAATTATATTTCAACAAATTTGATGCGCAATACGGCTCTATATTTAATTAACTTAGCACTAATTAACATTCTAACTTATGCAGAGAAACTTAGCTCAACTTTAATACGCCATTTTGCTAATAAATATTTGATGACTCTGAGATCACAGGTCACGTATGTGGGTATCGGTCATATTCTTCTCCTTGAAGAGCAAGTACTCCATTCATTCGTCATTGTGAGTAAAAAGTTTTTATTTACTTGAATCTTTTTTAAGGCTGTGATTGGTATACTTTCCGTCAATTTCTAAAGTCCATGGCAAATTGTTTTACCACTTTTAATTCGAGCCTTTAGCTGTTAAGAAATTTAGCTCTAATACAATAAGTTTAAATAAATTGGTGACCGCATGTCAGCTATGTCAGCTATATGCATAAAAATTTATAACTTTTCTTCTTTAGTTTGGAACATTTATAAAATTTATTTTATAAATAAAAAAATATGAAGGATTTGAGTTATCTGCTTTTTTTTATCACAGTATGGGTGGTGGGTAACATACCTACCGTGAAAAAAATGGCGTTAAAATTTAAATTAGTTTTATCTGATAAACTAAATGAATTTTCTTTTCTTCCGTTAATTCCAATTCCAAAAATAATTTAATTTATATTTACTGGAAGTTAATAGTCCAATAATGCCACCCACTTTTAATTTGACGATTTTTTTTCCCCATTTCATTTTTATGACTGCCATATCGCACCCGTCGAGAAAAGAGACACAAATCAAAAAACAGGAATTTTGAGGCTATGTCAGTAAAAAATAAGTATCAATGGCTCCATCTAGCTCAAAAAGTATTGCATCTCTAACTCGCAATTGATCCAGCTGAGGGCAGTTGTGTTAGTTTTGAGTTAAATTCAGAATAAGGGTTATCGTATTCCTTAAGTTGATTTTTCTCAAATGCTGCATTTTAGAGTTATGACACTTTTCTTGCCGGGGTGCGATATGATATTGAGCATTAGTCTTCGTCTAGGAAGTGAAAAGAATATCAGTTTTTCCATGAAAACTTGCGATGACTGTAACAGTCAGCCTCAATTCACGATATTTTTTTCTTATCTTCCCAAACAAACAAAAACAATAGATATGTTATCTCGAATGTTGCATCTTTTTTGTTCGATGAATTACTGAACAATTAACGAATAAATTAACTATTACACTTCACAGTAATGGTTTTCCTTTTTTTACTAGTTAAAATGTGCAGGACCAGGCTGTCTACTGACCATAAAAATTTTCTTGAAATTCATTCCAAATTCATTGATTATTCAGAATGTTTAAGCAAACTAATTTTTGGGATACAATTTGTCCAATGAATTTGTCATTGAGAAACTGAATTATTCTTAGATTTACTAAAGAATATTTTTGTTTGAGACGGTAGACTCTGTGACAACCGTTATTTTCGGCAATGTCTTAGAGGGATAAAAACTAAAAATTTTTAAACTAAAATACAAATGTTGCTAACACTAAGAATAATAATCCTCAACAACAATTCAAGTTGGTATCCTCGTGGTCAAGTTTTTCGTTTACAAAATAATATTACCTTCAGTATCCTTTAATTGCATTTAATGAGTATGAAATTATAGTCTGTGTTTCATACCCAGGGGTGAAAGCGAGACGGAAAAGAGAAAAGGCTGGTAGTAAAACCATTTCAGTTATAACTAGTTTTCGGAAGGAGTTAACTTATTCTTTTTAAAACTTTACCACAATATTTGCTTTATCCTTGAAAAATAAGCAGTTTTATATATAGACTAAAATTATAAAAGAAATCTTGATAGTTACAGTTATTATATTTTTCTAAAAAAAATGCTAAAATTAAATGTCTTTCGTACCAGTTTTTGCACTTATCCGTCTCGCTATATAAGGGCTTTCAGCCATATTCATACCTGCCAACTTTTAATCCTCTCAAGAATGATTTTTGCCAGTGGTAGTCAAATGGAATATAAATTGCATTTATGGGCAGAAAAATACGGTGTATTTTGACCAAGCTTATGCTGACTTCAACATCATTTCATTTCATTTATTAACAAAAAATTGGGTACCTGGGCCGCGCAGCGGCCCCTATCCCATACATCATGAATTAAAAACATTGTGTGAAAACATTTTGATTTTGCAACATTATGGTATGCAACTGACTTCAACATCAGTATTACGTATTTATATATACGCTTAATTATTTTTAAAAAATAGTGGTGGATCAGAAAGATTATAAATTAAGTTTATAAATTTCAAGGAATTTATAGAAAGCATGCATTTTACTACCGCTTTAAATATAGAAATAAAATTTTACGCCAAATGCGCAAAAGTTGGCAGGTATGGGTTTAAACAACGATTTCAACTCAGAAAAATTCTCTTTTGCATTAGCAAGGCTGCCACAGCAGACTAAAAACGTAAGAAAAGTATTTATTTATCACTAGCAAAATATTTTTAAATAAAATAAAATTAGCAACCTTTTTTTAAGCATTTTGCTCTTAGTCTACTATTGAAACTGAATGCAAAAAATGCTTTCTCTTTAAGTATGAATAATTTGCAATGTAAGTTATGGAGGTAGTTACTATTGAATTATGAAACAAATAAAGATGGATAAAGTTACTACCTCTTTCTAAATTTTTTAGTCGCTGTTGGTATTTCTGTTGCAAAGTTGTAGACAATTAAAATGCAAATTTTGCAAAATGTTTGGTAATTTTGCAAACATTTTATAAGCCACACCGCGAGAGAGTTAGTATAGAGAGGCATTTGATATGAACTTTTGAATAATTTACAACTAGTGCTGAGGAAAATAACTTTAAGTCAAACTAACAAAACAAAGAATTCTATATTAAAAAGTAAACTTTGCCACCACTAGAAGGAATTCTCCCCAAAAGCGTGGACATCCCTGAACTAGGCCATCACAACACACATAAATTGTTTATATATTCGCTTACACCTTTAGTCTAATCTCCTTTAATCTAATGACGTCATTTGACGATGGTGGTTATTTTTAATAAATATTGATTTAAATCTATTGCCATCAGCCTATTTCAAACTGCATTGAAAACTACTACATCTTATAATTGACAACATGCTTATAGAATGTACAGTGCGCAAAAAAAGATGGGAAAAAAAACGGACCACCTCGAATAACTTTTGATCTAATGATAATATATTCACTTTCTAGTACTCAATGTCAATATTACGAGAGAGTGACCTGAAATATGATAATTAATAAGTGCAGGCGATATTTTAAGTTTCGAAATCAAGAACAAAAACGTACTTTTTCTTTCGCATCCGCGGATTCGGATTTCTGACCCCCACAGTACAGACGGTAGCCGCAATCTGGAAAATATGCTCCCAATAGTTTGGTCAGAAAAGCGCTTGTGACCCCCTAATGTTAATTTTATTTTTGAAAACTGTACAACGTGAGTATCAATTTGGAATTCTAACGGAGTATCAAGTTAAGACGTAAGTATCAAGTTAGATTTGGTAAGCAGTTAGCTAGATAATATGAAATTCCTATATTTTTTAATCAAAACCTTGTCACCGGTTTTAAAGTTAGCTATTACCTCTTAGTTTGGTATTTAATTAAATTGATCCCCAATGAGCTAATCAAGTTTAATCATAACTTTCATGATAAATGGCTACTTCCATTGAAACACCTCCCCCCCATGTCTTTCAAAAGTGATGCGCTTAATATTTTAAATTTTCCCCCCGGCAAAAGCTTTCTCAATTTTTTATTGACTAGAGAAAAGCAGTTTTGTTTTATTTTAAACATGTTGAATGCGTTGCCCGTCCTGCCAAACGGTAAACAATTGCAAACGAAATTTGCAAATATTGGACAGATTTTGCTAGTTTTTTAAAAGGTTTAGCATTACTAATCTATAAAAAGTGGTGAATTATATAAGTCTACGAATTGCTTAGCAATAGAGGTGGATAAAAATCTACTCAATTGAATTTGTTAAACCAAATGTCACAATTAATAAACTACCACTTGAAAATATTTATTCGCTGTCCGGAGCAAGTTAGCATCTCTGTGTATATAAATAATACTATTTTTGTGTGTTCTATCTTGTATTAATTTCTTCAAACCATTTTAGTAACGAAAATAATATAAAAAATTTGAAAGCGTTAAAAATTCCCTCGAATTATGTGTTTCTAATAGTCTTGACTTCGCCGCTGGTCACCGGTGACCCCCGTGGCGCTGCGAAAAAACTCTGTACCGGTCACCAGTGACATTCAACGCGCTAATTTAGTTTACTATTCGATGTATAGGTAATAATATGAATATCTCGTCTCTTTCTTTTCTTTTTCAGAATAATGAAGAAAATTTCTTTGTCTGTGATGATGAGAGTATTTCCTGCTCGGAAAATAATAAAATTGATAACAAAAAATCAGAATCACTGTTCTCTGGAAGAACTCTAAATATTCAAATCGAATTCAATAAGCCTTTGAAATTTGCTTAATTGACAAGAGAACAAGAAATCTACAGAAACCTACATAAATTAAACAATCTTTGGAAAAAAACTTATAGATTAACTGTGTAAAGTGAAAATAATAAAGCTTTCACAAAGTATTGATTTTAGTTGTTTCTCAGATCTTCTTTTGTTTTCCGTTACTAAAACGACTGCGATAAAAAAATTAACGGAATATTTATGGAAGCGATTAGATTGCTATGAGAGAAAAAAAAGGACTGAAATTTTGCATCTTAGTAATCATTTCTATCATTTATGCTTGTAAGTTACGATAGACAAGTGCTGATGAAAATGTTTAAATCCAGTTACGCATGGCTTGCTTTGTTGCTCATTGTGTTATTTAAAATTCATAAATCCGATGAAAATAGAATGTTGCGTAAATTTTTAAATGCGTCTGACAACGAAACTTTGCTAGATGACTTCCTTAAAGATGAAACGACGACAAATTTATCAAGCAACAGAAGTATGTAGAGCTTTTATAAATTTTTGAGGGTGGGGTAAAATAATCAGAAGCACAACCAATGCTCTAATTTACAATCTTGCCACTTTTAAGGACTTGTTCTCTTTTTTTTTTAGGCTTTCCTCTTGGTTGAAGTTGATCGCAATTGTAATGCAAATTTTTATTTTATTTTAAAATTTGTAACCTGATCAAAAAAACAAAAATCCAGAATTTAGTATTGTTTTTTTTTTATTTATGAATAGGCCAAAATGGAAAGCGGGTCGGTAAAGGTGACTGAACTGGAAAATCAAGAAGTTAAATTGAAGATGATTGTCAATATTTTTCTAAAGACTAGATACTGCAGATAGAGTTCAATGTTTTATTCACGATTTCTAAATTATTATGTCTAAATTAAAATACTATTTTCTATTTGCAAAATGCATTCGAAATTTCTATACTTTGAATGAATCGAAATTTCTNAAACTGAAATAATCAGAGAGAGTATTCTCACCAAATGTGATCTCTTTCGAAATTCACCCTATCAGCTGTGACAATCTTATATTATTAAGCTAGGCAGAATTGAGTAGTCTTTGTCGATAGATCTCTAATTTAGTATCTTGTCGAAAGCGCTTTTTTTTCACGAATTTATATAATACGAATTTATTTGACGATGTGTGATAGCGAGCGAAGCGAGCTTGGTTTGCGAAGCAAACCATATAAGATTGCGTAGCAATTTTCGGGGGTTGGCGAGCGTTAGCGAGCAGGGGGCGCAGCCCACTAGTATGATCTATAAATCAAGTATAATGTAAGATATATGTAACTTGCAACAGAATTGTATGGGATTATTTTAAGTCTTGTAAGAGACAGTCGCAGATGTTCAACGTGTGGTCCTATAGTCACATGACATATATTTAGTAAGTAGTGCATTTTTGCCTAAACTCATGTTAAGGTATCCACATCAAGCTTATCGATCAAGGCTGTGATAACCTGTTTCATCTACGCTAGGTAAACAGGAAGAGGAAAAACTAATGCCTTACAGAAAGAAATCACAAGATGTTTGATTTGTATTTCTGGGTAGTCGAGTAATGGAGCGGCTGGTCCAATCTATCAGTGGTTATCATAAGTTGTACATTGTGACTCAACTATTCGTTAAGGATGACACAAATAGATAAAAAAAAGTACTATGCATCGTCCAATGTAACAACAAGTATAACACTTATTTGATGAGTAGATATTTACAACGATAAATAGAGATTTACAATTAATAACAATCATATTTGATGATTCATTCACACTAATCTTAAACGCAACTGCAAGTATGTCAGCTGAGATCTGCAAAGAGAGCATTATCACTCTGCATTAGAAATGTATGTATAACTGATATGTATGTCTGACAAGAATTTTTTTTTAGACAAATGAAGATATTCATTCAATTTTGCTTCAGAGAAACAAAACTTTATTTTTAAAAATAAAATAAAAGACTAATAGATTAATAGTGATGTGGACTTATACATTACTTGCCTAATTAGAGATTAGGTATAAACTGACTAATAGCGATAATAAATAATAATTTCTGACCTGTATTAATATTTCATTAGTTCAAAAGGAAAGGCTTGTATTTATGATCTACGTTTGATGGTTCATTAGGTACAAATTATTTTTAGAGAATTAATCGTATTGAAATCAACGAAACCCGCAACGATGCATTGCTTTATACTTTTCTAAGTATGAATACGCTTCCTTTTTGACCCATTCGCTTGCGCAGTAGTCAGTATTGTCGCCATCATATTCAGCTGGCAAAACTTCTTTTGGAATGTACTTGTGAAGATGCTTCATATCACTTCCGTGAAAATGAATCTAGAAAGTAAATATTACAGTTAGTATGTACAAATAGAAAAATAAAATACACAAAAATCATGAGCAATGCTTACTATGAATAATTTATAACTATGATCATATTTTATTGGTAAAACAGCAAATGAATGGGGACTTCGGCAATCTATTACAATTAAATTCTTAAATTCAAGCTCCGTTTCCTATTAGCATTACTTCATCAGAACACCACTTTACTATAGTTCGTTCACCAGGAGTTGGCACTTGGCTCTAAAGACAAGGGAACTCCTGGGTCAGTACCCCCAGAGGCATGATTTGTTATGGGTACATGGAGGACTTTGTGACTCGACAGATTTAACGTGCATCAGTCCCCATTTACTACACGGGAGGACTTCGGCCGGCGAAGATCGAACCTACTATCTATTGGACATGGGCCCAGGAAAAGCAGGAATATTTTGTTGCGCATAAAATTGTTTTATATCCGTATAAAATGATTTAATAACAACGCAGTTTTTCTACCTCTAGCATAATGTGTAACTGCTGCTAATCTTCCGAATTATGCTGGATTCATTGGGAGGAGCTCATGATGGCTTAGCGTGGTGTCAGGGTTGGCTTAGCTTCCAGGGTGGTGTTCGGGCTGGTGTTTCGAAATTCTGCAAAAGGCGAGTGCTTAACTTTTCCTGTGACCTGACTGTCTTACTAGCAACGATAATTTTTCCATTTGTGGAGTTATGCTCTAAGGCAGAGATCTCCTTTTTTTTGGCAATGAAACCTTAAATCATCAAATTTCCTTAAGCGTTACCCCAACTCCAAACAAAAAATATATATATATTAAGGTGATTGTTAATATATTCAACAATAATATAACGTTTTACTTTAAGATTATTTCATAAAACAAATGAATATTTTTAATTGTTTTATCATTAATAAGCCTAAATTAAATTTTATGTCCTACAGCTAAATTTGCAGTCCTGGAGCTCTGTCTAGTCTCGTATTGAATCTGATTTTGGATGTATGTACATAAATTGAAAGCAATTAAAATGTAACGAATTATGATTTTCTTTGAAATGAAAACTAAAAAGAACTGTTATAAACGTTGAGATTGGTTATTAAGGAAACATCTTTATTGCCACCTCAGTAAATTTAGCTTAATTTGAAAAGCCCTTTGGAAAATATAAATGCATTTTTTTTAAAATCCATCTCTTTTTCATAATTTATTCATTATACCGCCCATGGCCTGCAATAGCGGCATAGCTCAAAAAATCAAGTTTTGTGATAAATGGGTTTAACGTTTTTATTGCTAAGCAAAAGGCATAATAAATGCCTTAGTTTGCTTAAACGATGATTGCCATCAAGTTGAATTATGAATTGTGATAGTATTGCTGCTGAAAGAATGAGTATTTTCATATTTGCACCTGTTCTTAGCCCAAAAAGCGTGTTTTTTGAGTTGTGCCACTATTGCAGCCCATGAGCGATATTGTTATTAAAAATTTATATATTTATTTTTTTAAATGAGCCATTTCTTTTTTTTTGTTGGTATTTCAGCTTAAATTATTTCATAAAGGCCACCAAAATAACAAATAATTAATAGCCTATTGATTAGATTCAAATATAATTTAAAGCATCAAAATCACTACGAGTTAAATGGAAGTCCTAATTCATAGAACTCCTGTAACTTTTCCACGGAGTACTAGGGTTCCACGAGATACCATTTATGATCCGCGGCTTTATCGTTGTTTTTGCGAAATGCTACAAAATTTACTCAACAGTCTCAACTAGAAGCAATGTTATATACATACATGTACTAGCCCACATTATTCGGTCTACATTCATGCACAAACCACGTTCAAATAGTATCAATTTTCTACACATAAAAAAGTATAACCTTAAATGTTTCAAACATTTATTATTATGTTTTTTTTTTCGATGACTCTCAAGAAAAAAAATCTTTACTTTTATGAAAAATTCGAAATATAGAAAAATATAAATAGTACAGAGAGGATTTAGTAAAATATTTAAGGAAAAAGGAACCAGATATGTCAACTTTAATAACTTAAATCTGATATATCTAGTCCCTTTTTCCCTAAAATTAACGAAAGCCAAGTAGTTTATGACAAAATAAACTTCGAAATAGATTTTTTGTTTCCTCTCATTGAAATTAGCGTAAGTTACAACGAGAAACACTATCTTTTAAAGAACAGTAATATCTTTAAACTGCCTGAATAGAATATTTTGCCATCACATGAGCAAATTTTCTTAAAATGAGTGAACTTGAATGTGAACCGAACATCTTATAGGCTTTAAAATAAAACCGATAATTAAATGAAAATATATTTACCCTTTTCTTAATTTTTTCTGTAAGAAAAAACTTAAAAATGTTGAAGATGTACGAAAAGATAACCGATTCGTTCACTACATGAACTTGCTTAAATCTGATAGGCAACGTATTCTATAACAGAAAATAGAACATTAGATATTTTCACTTGGTTTGAACAAATAAATACATTAAAATCTACTAGCTAGGTGTTTAAAAAGTTATTAAAGGAAAATTTGAATGAGATGGAAATGTATGGTTTGCTTTGTCTTAAGGAGATGCTCTGTAAACGATCTTTTTTACTCAACATGTTACGAAATTATTTACAAAGTGTGCCAATAGATGGTGCTGCAAGCAGATAAGTACCATGACACGGTGTTTTCAACATGACCACCATTTGTAGAAAACACGTGGTGCAGTCTGAGGATAAAACTTACTATCTTCGAGGAAATGTTTAATCTAATATGATCTGACATGCTGTAGAAAACATGGTTTTGTAGTTTATACAGTAAGCAGCGTCTTCCATTGACAAAATTTAAAAATAAGTAAGAATTAACTTTGTTTCTAAGCAGGACGCAGCAAACCCTATACTTCTATCTCTTTTCGTTTCTTTTTCAATGATTATTACAAATTTGGAATACTAAGTATTGATTATCCCTAATTCAGAGATTTTAAGTGATTAGAGAATTTTAAGTGATTTCGTTGCTTATGAAAACTTAAATTTATTTTCAAATTAAAACAGATTTATAGCTATTTTGACGATTTCCACCTACGATACAATTATTTGTTTCAAAGTCTTATTTTTTTTAAAAAGTTCCAGTTATTAAATACATAGTTTAAACAATAATGCTTGAATGATATATTATAATTTTATCTATGTTTTTTTAAAATTTATTTAAAAATTAATATAAGAAATACATCAATGCCACTATAAGAAGCAGAAATAAAAGTTTTATGAATCTTGTCACTTACCACATATGATGACCAAGTTGCAAAAAAAAAATGGTGATTAAATTTTTTTTATTTGGTATCCCAAAAAAAGAGAAGGAAATTAGCTTGATTTCGTAATGTTGAAAATGGCATACATTCAAAGAGACTGCCACATCTCTTAATTTTAATTCAAATATTTGTCTTAATTCTCATCAGGTTTGAGTTCTTGATTTTGAAAAGTAAATATATAAAAGGAAATACTGCCACAAGAATATCCTGATGCTAACCCCCATGTTAATATTTCTAAATGAGCATTCTAAGCATTAAAATACATTCGAACCTTTTTGTTTACGTGCATAAATTATGTCAAATAAATTCTGCTATGATCTAATACATGAATTTTAAGATTAATTTTATGTATCATTTATTATAAAATGCATTTTTTTTCATTAAAATTATCATATTTCAATTACAGTTACAACAACTTCTCTACTTAAAAAACTGATTGAAATTAATGTTTATATCTATTTGTTTTGCAATAATGATTAAATTTTAATTATTGAACATAAAACTCTTGAAATATTTATAATTATTTTAATGTAAAAGATTTATTTTTATTTTCAATTGCTTGGAGTTATTTGGATGTTCCTTTTTTTCTAAACTTCAACTATTTTTTTCTATAGTAATTCCTAGAAGGCTATCATGTTTAGTTCCATTAAAAAATGCATTCAGAACATTTTGATTTTTTTTCCATTAGTTTATTTCATATAAATAATAAAAATTGATTAAAATTTTAAATGGAATCCTTTTCATTAAATCAGTATTGTTTTTATTATATGGCTGATTTTCTTATATGACTGATTTTCTTTTCCTCGGGCCGGGCAAGGTTGACTCAGCCTTTCATCCCTTCAGTGGGTAGATAAATGAGTACCAACCATGCTTGGGAACTAAACACTGGGGGTTTCGCGTTCGGCTGACCACCCAACCGGAACATCTGCTCCTGCACCCCAGAGCCCAAGGTCAAGAAAACTGAGATGGGCACAGTAGGCCTTGGCCCTCTATGGGCTGTCGCGCCACTGAGTTTAGTTTAGTTTAGATTTTCTTAATCATTAATCTCACTTAAAATCTTTTCACTTTATTTTATGATTATTCCGATTTATTTAATGATTATTCCGACCAATAAAAAAAGGGTGTAGCAAGCAAATCAGTAGGTTATGAGTTATACACTGTAGAAGTTAAAAAAAAAATTATTAGAGAAAAAAATCAAAGCTTAAAATAAAGCATAACATTTTTGAAAATTGTATCAAGTTTTTTTAAATTTTATTTTAATTCAAGATTTTCCTATTATTGATCATCGTTCATTTATTTTTATATTACCAAGATTATAATCACTTAATTTTTCATGAAATATTTATTTTCATTATAACTATAATTATATTATTAATTTCCATTTACATTAATTTCCATAATAAACATTAATGTTGAACATTAATGTGATGTTGGGCTGCCCGCCTGTACGCTTCCCGTTATTTTGACAATGATTTGTTGTTTTATCTATCTCATTCGCTTTTTAATTCTGTTTTAATCTATTTATTCACTACATTGTGCTTTTTTAATTGGCTTATTTACATTGCCTTTCCTTGCTTGCAAATTTTAGCGTCACCTTTTAATTGTATTTGATAATTGTTTGTTTTACCACTTTACATCTTCACCTCCTTTTGTTTTTCATTTGAGATTTTCTTGGCTCCTTACGCCTTGTTCTTCTGTCTTACCTGTTGTCAATTTGTCATCGACTGTATTGGTTCTTTGATCTATATTAACTTGGGACCTCCGTTTACCTGTGACCTATTAATGTTTTCTTATGTTCACTTCAGGTACACGTTTTTTTTAATGGTTCACTTTATGTTTTACTGTTCTTGAATACATCAACAGTTTATACTTTGTGTCCTTTATATCCTGTCACAATGTTAATGATCGCTTTGGTTTAGCGACCCAACTTACTCTGTATTATTACTCGTTTTAATCCTATGTACTGCCTGCACATGATGCATTGTATGTCATACTCTACTTTCCTGCGATGTGTTGTAAAATTTTTCATTTGTGTCTTTGGCTCACTATAAGGGAAGCTCCGTCGGCTTCGGCACTATAAGGCGGGACTCTCGGAGCATTTTAATTATTTTACTGCTGTTGCCATCAGACTCTGCAATGTTTTCGTATTTTTGCACTTTTTGTATTTTATGTACTTTTCAATTTTTCTTGATTTTAATAAACATTTACCCGTATGCCCTAAATTGGGGCAGATCGGGGTAAATATTTCATAATAAACATTAAAAGTCAATATTTTCAAAAATCATTTTTCTTTTTTGTTCTAATAAACATTTTGCACCTTGTTGTTGTTGCTGCCTCTAATGGCACTTGCCAATACTAACAAGCCTGCTTTGTGAAACCGTGGGAAGTTTAAGGCAGACGGTACGTTTCCTGTTTTTCAGTTTCACCATCAGGGGCCAAGAATACAACTTCATCTACACGTGCATCCCAGCCCAGTTTGGAGAGTGAACCCATTCATGCATCCATTAAATCACCCACAGATCGTAATTTTGACCTGAACTAGAAAACGATCAATCTCCAATTCTGTACTTCCAAATGTATTGATTTGTAAAGGGAACTTGGAGGGCTTTGTGGCCCAACAGATTTAACGTCACCATTTACTACTCGGAAAGTCTTCGGCCGATGGGGATCGAACTCTCGACCACTTCAACATGAGCCAAACGCTGAACTAACTAGGCTATCCCGGACCTTTTTCTGCACCTTAACTTCATGAAGTATTTCAAATTAAAATTAATTGCCATAAATAGAAATAGAGGACGCCACTAAACTCCGTCGTACAGAGTGAAAGTCGACGCTTGCTAAGCATTAGTGAACATTAACATTAGTTGAACATTAACATTAGTGAACTTGAAACATCAGTTGAATTAGTGTTGTCAAACATTTCGGAGGAAGGGGTTAAAAGTGTTTCAGAAAAAAATTTTTTTTTCTTCATTTGTGCAAGGAAACGTTGTCTGCTATAAGATATGCAAATTATTTAGATTGAAAACATCGCGATATGGCGCTAAATAGCAATATTTTCTGACGATAAGGTGGTATTAAAAATTCCGATATCGCTCAGCATTCTCAGCTACTACCTTACATGATTCAAACTTTGTTAGTTTCAAAAACTATATGAATAGGAAATAACAGTCGACATGTTTAAAGCCCTCAAAAACAAGGATCTATTTTCAAGACTTTGCCGATGTGAATCAATTAACGGTTTTAAGGCCATCCCAAATTTTATAATAATGGCCTTTAATATTGGGCACTTAGTTGATGGTGAAAATCCTATTAGTATAACAAATGTTTTTCAGAATATCATTCTTAAAATGAGCAAAACTTTAAGAATTTTTTTTTTCTTTTTGAAAATTTACTTACTCTGAGAGCTTTAGATATTAATTGTAAATATCTTGGTGATAGTGTACGTATATGCTTTAGAGAGATGTTTTTGGCATCAAATATAACTTGAACTCCACACACTTGAGTAGCTGGATCTTCAATGCATTGTAGCAATAAAAATGTCATCGCGGAAAAAACAACTGGCAGTGAAAATTCATCAGGATCCCATCTACCTAGGTGAGATAAGTTAAAAGTGTTATTAACACTTACAAGTTAAAAATAAAAGCATTTTGGGTTAAATCGAGATCAATCTTCCGTCGAAGTAATTAGTTGCTTAAAATATTATAACAGTTGTATCATATTCTAAAATTTAAGTGTCATCTTCACAACTTACCATGCTTTTCCGAATGCTTCACGTGGTCATTTTTCTTTGGACACGACTGTGTCCATTTATAGCCTTTTAATATTAATAGCTATGGCAAACCGCCGTTCATTTTGTCTAAAAATCAACATTATTTCATTTTAATTTCCTTCTGAAAAAGTATTGAAGAGCGTCCCCAGCTGTTCGACGCTTGTTATTTTTTTGAATAGCACTATAGCGTGCTTGCGAATTCTTTTCTTGTTTGTTTCAGTGAAATTTAAATTGAAAGAGCCCGTTATTTTGTAATCACTATAGGCGTAATAATATCGGATGGCGCGTTTATTCAAGCTTAGGCGTAAAAATCAATCGAAAGTGGTAACCCGGAAATCTTACGACGAATTTTAACGCCATCTGTGCTTCGTTTTACACAATCAACCATCCATTGCACGGCAATATTAAAGAATTCCAGTTGGTTCAGAAAATATTTTTCCTTGCAAAAGCAAAAGCAATTAGTTAATAAATTAGAGTTGAAATTTTTATTTTCTAAAGCACCATATAAAAAAATGGAAATGAATAGATAGTCGACCATGTAAAGCTAAGTGCAGATGGCGCTGGGGGTCAAATTTCGCCGGAAGACTTTCGGGTTACTACTTCCGACTGATTTCTACGCCTGAGCTTGAAAAAACGTGCCGTCCAATATTATCATACTTGTAGTGTTTTCAATACAGCGCGTTCTTTCAATTGACTTTTAACGAAACAAACAAGAAATGAACTTGGAAGAAAACTCCAGAAGCTTGCTGTGATGCTAACCGAAAATAAAACAAACGGCACTTACAAATCTAGCCAAATAAGAGACAAAACTCAAGGCATAGTAAACCTTACACTTTATTTATGGTTGTGATACTAATTTGTTTTAGGCTCATCGCCTGTTAGAATTACAGTAAGCTCTTATGAATCGTGAAATTACGCTAAAATTTAAACACAATTCAGAATGATAAAACTTCCTAGAATATTAAGCCTGTTTGAGCATCGCCTCGTAAGAAAGCAGAGTGACAGACCGAAAGTTTTCTAAATTATTTCCTGTTTTCGGAAGCTTATTGCTTGCATTCAGTCAATCATCCATACATAAAATTATGCTCGAAAGTCTCCAAATTGTGCAATAATTGCGCTCAAAACTGGTTATAGACTCCTTCTAAATCGTCCAACAGAAAGAGATGGAATTTGGCATAAAGATAGCACAAAGCACGAGAAAGGTCACTGTCGACATTTGTTGAGTCTGTATATCAGCAGATGGTGTTAGTTCCCTGTTGAGAAGCTTTTAAGTTTCACTTCTGTTTTTTAAAATTTCATGTTTTGGTTTACATTTTTTTATATATCCGTATTAATACTTGTTGCAGTTTTTCGGCACGAAAATTTATTAGAAAATAAAGTAGATTTTTATGAAAATGATTGCATAATAATAAACTTTTTTTGATGACTGCACCGGACTGCAGGTAAGAAAACTTTTTTCACCCACATTATTTCGTGATTTATTAAAAATTTTGGCATCTGAGACTAGATCTAAAACTATCAGGAAGTGGGCCTTTTTGAAATTATGACATGTAGTTAAAAATCATATAATATGCCACTTTTTTCATAAAGCCACTTTTCGTATCACTTCAACGACTAACGGATAAATAAGAGCAGAGTTGCCGATCTGTTCCTGATTGTGCATAAATTGTGGAGAAATATTTTCTAATGGTCCAATATCCAAGAAACATACGCTGGAACAAAATTTATGCTCGAATGTATGATTCTTGGTTTAGTAAATGCAAGTTTTCACCCACCACTAATTTTAAATAATTCAAAGAGTTATTCAAAATGCCACTTTCCATTGTGAATTTCGTTCGACAGAAATACAAATATTCACAAAGACCTCAAGATTCCGACCTTATCGCAATATATTTACAAATTAAATGCAAATTTCCTTGACCAAGCCATAAAATGCAATATAGTGAACTTCAACCAGACATTCAACTTTGAAATCTAGAAAAAAGATATAAAATTCAGACTAATGGCTGCTCACTTTACATCCGACGCCTCATATCACAATCATAATTATAGCCTCAACAAACTTCCTAATCACAGATCCACATATAGCATCAGATTCAGCAACAACAATATTGAAAGATCTATCTAGCGTTTCCCCAAGTAGACAATCAACCTGCATACAGTTCTATTGCCACACATAGTTTAAAGCAAGCTGCTTTATTTCATTTACATTATTCTTATTTATTCAAGCAAGGTGCTTGAATCCCCCTCATAGCTATCACACTGCCTTCTGACCACAAAGAACTCACACAGTACTAAATAATTCACGATGGATGGGATAGGGGCCAAACTAGCATAACTAAAAAGGAAGAAGATTGCGATTTCGTGATGAGCCTTTCAAAAAAATTAGCAAAATTAACCAAAAATCGGTAAATTTTAATTAATAGCAGGGATGCCAACTGTTCCGCATTCTGCAAGAAAAAAAATATCTCGAAAGAAACTTAAATAGTTAAACCAGAGATGCCAACTGCTCCGGTTTCTTCAAAAGTTTTATTAAATTGTTAACAAATGAAATAGTAAAACTTGTAGAATGATGATAATCACGCCTACTCCTAAAAAGTATCTCCAAGAGAAAACTGCAATAACGCTATAATTCATATGATACTTTCGATTCTTGATATGTATTGGTAGAAAAATTACTTAAAATAAAAAATACTGAACTAAAAATAAATAAAATTTCGTTACAACTAGAAAATATGTACTTCAAAGCACAGCAAGTTAGCATCTCTGTAAAACGCGTCAAATTAGGCTACTAGCACTTACTTTTATAAGTGTCACCACGAAATAGCAACAATGCTGGATGCTGGATATTGGGGTTATCTCGGCGTTTGGCGCGAAGCGCCACTAACCGATTCATCGATTCTGTTTTGTTGTATTCTGGGAGGTCCTATATATCTTTGAAGTTGTAGTATGTTGTAACAACAAGTCAAGTCCTTAAGGAGTAAATCTTTAGTTTTGAAGGGAAAATCATCTTTGGATTGGGGAGATCCCCTTGAGTAGAGTTGTATGATAAAGTTAATAGTATTTTGATAGTATGCAGTCTGAGCATAAAAAGGCGGTAATTGGGCTGAAATTCGAATTATCACTGATTATATCAATATCGAACAATTTATTGAAATCCGATGTGGTGCATGTCTTTGCGTCGCTGTAAAATTTTGTGGTCAATTTAGCTATAAAGCAATTGATATCATCAATGTTTAAGTCTTTTCTGAG